TCAATTACTGTCCCTTCATCAGTTCTCTCAGCCACTCTTCGATCCGATATTCAAGCTCTTGAGTCGATCATACGCAGCATTGATCCAAGTTCCATCTCTCCTTCCTCTTACCTCAGCACATGGGACTTCTCTGAAGACCCATGTGAAGGCGCAGGGACGTTCTTGGGAGTTATGTGTTCTTTCCCTCTTGAGAACACGACAAGCCGAGTTACAGAAATCGACCTTGATGATGACGGTTATGATGGTTTCCTCTCTGATGCAATAGGAAACCTCACTGAGCTCACTATCCTTAGCATCAACAAGAACAGATTCCGCGGTCCAATACCAGAAACTGTGTTCCAGCTCAGGAAACTCACCAAACTCTCTCTCTCGGGAAATTTCTTCACTGGAGACATATCCGAAGGTATCACACAGCTCAAGGAGCTCAAAACCATAGACATGTCCAAGAACAGTATCGCCGGTGAGATCCCTCCAAGGATATCAGCCTTGAGAAGTCTGACTCACCTGATCCTATCAAACAACCATCTAGATGGAAGAATACCTGCGCTCAACGGCTTGTGGAAGCTACAAGTATTAGAACTCGGTAACAATCATCTTTTCGGAACGCTTCCTAAGCTTCCCCCAAGTCTAAGAACTCTATCCATCTGCTTCAACAGCCTTACAGGACGTATATCACCTTTGCATAGGCTAAAACAGCTTGTGTCATTAGATGTGAGCCAGAACAGATTCTCAGGCACCATTGGACACGAAATCCTAACATTTCCTGATATTTCACGCATCAATGTGTCTTTTAACCAGTTCATTTCCATAGAAGTTATTAAGATTACAGGCATGGAATCACACCTGCGCGTGCTTGACGCTGAAGGAAACCATTTACAAGGTCGTCTTCCTCTGAACCTGGCAACTTATGCAAACCTGAAGGATATCAATCTAAGGAGCAACATGTTCTCCGGTGATATTCCAAGGATCTATGGAAAAAGACTTGAAAATTCATGGAGAAGCTTATACTTGGAGAACAACTACCTGACAGGTTCACTTCCTGAGGAGTTTCAAAAGATCTCCAAACAGATCAAAGGAAGCCTTTCGAATAACTGTCTGCAATGCCCGAAGAATGTTTCAATCTGCCAAGGAATACAAAAGCCAAAATCACAATGCACCAATGCAATGCAGGAGGGTTTGGAGTAGAGATCATGCGCATGGGAAGCAGTTTCAATTAGAAAGCATTATTACCATAGCAAAGTTCATGTCCTTGTTTGTTCTAATCATGGTAGAAATGTAGTCTATGAAAAAATGACATTTGAAAAAGAAGATTAAAAGAGTGTATTTCAGATAACACTTTTCTTTCACCATATTTATGTTTGACAAACGTCTCAAACGAAAAGAAATACTCAAACTACCCTACCACCTCCATCAAGAGGACATTCCAAATTCTGCTACACAACCTCAGAGGTGTTTTTCAAAACAACGTAAACATATCGCGTTTCAAAAGAGCCAATTGACACTAATGTTTCCAAGCCAGATCAAAAGAGGAAACTGTGCTAAAGCTACAAAGATTAAGAGGTAGTGATGCCTGCTTGAGTCATAACTCCTAGCTTCGGCAAAGAGAACTCGTTTCATTGTCTTCACTAAGAAAACCCCGGTGCATAAGCAGGTCCATGGAATCAAAACATAGTAGGAGTATCCCCAGATTATCTTGCCAAGAACAGCTAGACAAAGGCCAGTGAAAGTGTATCCTGCATATGCCACAATGTCCAAGAGGGGTGCTTCTCCGCTACCCAATGAAAGTAATGTTATCTTCAGCAGCATAACTTGCAAAAACCACCCAACCATTCCTTTCACAAAAAGCCAATTAAGAGCTTCCGGAGTAAACCTAGAAAATTCAGATTCCTCAGAAGGATCAAAAGGTTGAAACAAAGCAGTCTAAAAGACATATACATGAATATATACAAAATAGAAAAAGAACTTACTTCCCATAAAGACCTAGTGACAAACCAGCAAGAACAACATAGGTGCCAAAGGCCATGAGCGGAATGTATAAGTCTGGTGCATTAATATCGTATATCGGGGGCTTGTATGAAAGTCTACCACCAACTGGTTCTGATATCCTAGTCCAGTGTCCCTGAGGTTGCAGCAGAACTCATATAATAAAGACCCCAAATACAATAACAAAAAAAAGCATACCAACAAAAAAGAAGTGAAAACCTTACCCTGTGAAGGAACGGAAGTAGAACAATCTTCACCTTGTTCCTCACATATTGGTCATTCACTTGAAAATAGTATTGGGGATCAGAGAACCAACGACTTATCTGTTTATTTCAACCGGTTAAAAAAAATGGAACGCCATGTTGAGAAGAAAGCTGGAGAGACAAGAGTTACTTACGTTGCTCTGGACATACTCAGAACTCGATCCAAAAATCTTCTCCCCATAAGCTCCCAAGCCACTCCGGATAAGTCCAGAGCCAGGTCCAGAGAAGGGATTCCCAAACGGGTTAGGCTGAGGATTTGCCTGAGGCATTTGCATCCCAGGCTGAGTTCCCATGTTATTGACATTGTACATCTCTGGCATTCAAACAAAACCAGAACAAAGAGATTAAGGGTAAGTAATAGACTAATTCCAAAGTTCATATGCACAAAGAACAACCTTTCTTTGCACCTGATGATTCTTAATTAAGTGCTTCTCATACCCTTAAAACAATCCAACCATCAAACGACCAAGAACACACAAAACAAAAACCATAACGATTTGATCTCTTTATCGACTCTATATTCTATAATTCCTTCAAAAGACCCGATCCTCGAATCAGAATTCACTAAGCAAGCCAGAATATACCACATTGCCAGTCTAGGGTTTTTCAATGTCATGCGAGACTAAAAGCATGCCGCGGAGCCCAGATTTACACCATGGAAAAAGCAATTATTCAACAAGAAATCGCAAGAAAGCCCAAACATTTGAACAACCAAAACGATGATAAACACAGAAGAAAAAACTCGACAAATTGTAACAAGGATCAGCGATCAGCAATCGGTAATAAAGAAGCATAAACGCATACCTGAAAAGCAGATGTGAAGGAGATAACAGATCTATAGATTGCTTTTTCCGGTTGATTTGATGAGTGCGCCGACTAAGTGCCGGTGAAACGCGAAGTGAAGAATTTCAGATATCGAAAGGTAGAAAATAACGGAAGGGGAAGGTCGTGTGGAAGCCTCTAGTTCGCACGTGTGACCATAGGCTGTTAGTTTTTATCAGCAAGCGAATGAAAAATTAACACGTGTAGTTTCATTTTTGGTTTCCTTTTTAAAGGTTAAAATAGTTGTATATTTTTTTTGTAACACATCATTAATTTCGAAATTATCAGATGTATACTTGTAAATAAAAGAAATTTAAATCTAGACTTAACGATTATTTTTCCAACATTTTGTACTTCAATTTTTCCTTCTCATCTATAATTTACATAGGCACTATAATGTACACAACGATAATACTACTGATACCACAGATTTGATTACAAATTCTTGGTCACGAGAGAGTGAAATTTGGAAAGCTAGGTTTAAAAGTAGAACAAACAATTTCGCGAGGTTTTCATACAAAAACTTGAAAGTTGAGGGTTTATACTGAAATTTTTCTTAATTAGAGCCTTGAGAACGAAGCAGAGAGTGATTCTCTCTCTCAATAGAGAAGAAGAAGAGAAAGTTTCAGTTTTTCTTGGCGAAGATGGAAGTTCCAAGCTCTGAAGAAATACTACAGTTTCTGAACTCTTGTCTCTCTCAGATCAAATGGCGACTCAAGCCCAATTCCAAACGCCGCCTCGAAATAGGTTTATCTTCTTCCCCTACTTTTCGAGACTCGTGATTCAGTTTTGAAATTTGGGTTTACTTTTAAAATTGATGTTTCCTCTGATTCTCTGCACTTTCCAATTCATTGGAGGAACGAGAAAAAATGATTCTTTAGATCTCATTTTGTACCCGATTGAAGCTTGATGATGTTTTGTTTGAAATCCTTTAACCAATTTTTGTGCATTTGGCTTGCTGGGTTTGTCATTTACACTTCATATTAGAGATAAATCACCTAAAGTTAGAATTTTTGACATCATAGATCGTTCAAATTTCAACACTAGACTCAAAGTGTGATCTCTCAATTTTCCATATGTTTGAATCTTAAGAAGTGATTCTAAAATGGGTTTCTTTGGACTAGATGTGTTGGCATTGTGCACGGGGATGAGACCAGTTGTGATGATTGACTATGGTGGAAAGATGCCTGAGCTACAAGATCGCTTGCTTTCGCTTCTTGAGCTTATCCAATTGGTTAGTCTCTCTACCTCTTCTTCAAGCACATTAGCACTTGAGTATGTCTCTGTAGCTGAGTTCTGTTCCTGCTTGTGTCCTCTGTGTTGGCACTTTTCTAGGGTTTACCAGTTGTCAAAGATCTGAGGGTTATGGTTATAGAGGATATGATTTATCTGATAAATGTAAGAAGACTGCCCAAGTTTGTAAGCTCCAGCTTGAATTCAGAACCTGAATTGTTCTTTGTCGACTTGGAACATGATCCTCCAAAGGTTTCTTCCTTACATACTGCTTCTGGGTTTGTTTCAAGTGGTTCCTCTTTTCATGGACTGATCTCATTCTTGCTTTTTGTTTGTTCAAGATGGTAGAACAGAGCAAGGAAAGCGATCTGGGGATGCAGCTTAGAGCGATTCAGAAGCTATTCTCCACGACATTTCCTCTAGATTGCAGCGATAATGATACCACCACAGCTCTTGATGAGGCCAACTCTTCTCAGTCTTCTTTATTCATTGATCTAAGTTGTTGTTTACAGGACACTAAGGTTACGATCCCAACCTTAAACGGGTAATTTCTAATCCAACTCTTCATTCATCCACCATATATTATCTTAGTTTATCAAGCCGTGAAGCTTGGTGTTGAGTCTGTATTTGCAGATGGCTCCTGGACTATCCGGTTGTGTATCTATTTGGCACAGATCACATAGAAGAGGCAATCTGCAATCTCTCAACCAAGTCTCTCCGCATATTCAAAGTTTTAGTACAAAGGTTAGCTATCGTATATTTGCTACTCTATCTTCTTTGATCATTGTTGTGAAATCTAACTCGAAGATCTTTCAGGAACAGTACTACGGGAGACTCCCATTTAGAAAAGCTAACAAGGTAAGCCAAGATGGTGACTTTGCTGCCTAACAACAATGAATCTGTGAAAGTTGTAACTAAGTGTGTGTTTGGGAATTGACTTGCAGTTTTTCGGTGCCATATGATCTGAGTATGGGAGGTAGCAAGGAAGTGTGGGCTGAAACATTTATGGAGAGGATGTGTTCGAGGTGGGAAGAATGTAAACACATTTGGAGATCACTGGATTTGCAAGTTTCTGAATGTTATCCTCAAGCAATTGTACTTTAAGGCTTTAGCTACTCAAAGAGTTGTTCACTAAATGTTTCTGAACGATCAACAACATTATGGTTGTGTTGTAATAGTGAAGTGGCGACATTTCGAAATATAATAGTTATGGATGACAAGAAATGAAGTATAGTGCATATGTAAATTATAAATGGCATAAATCGCCGGTTACAAATTGCTTTAATTTTAAAAAGTTGTTTTATTTAAAAGTTTGAAATTAATGTGTTACAAAAATTTTACTTTAGATGAAGGCATCTTCTTTCCCTTAGGTAGAGTATCACTAGGAACCTCAAGCCTTTGTTTCATGATCCTGTCCAAATCCTTTAATCAGTATGCAACAGGGTAAAATGAAAATAATCAAAGTCAGATGAAGCAATGAAGAAGCTATTACATGTGGCCTTATCAAATAATAGTGTATAAGACTATATATACACACGATTTGAGTATTCAAGTTCGTGTGTATGATCCTATTCGGATTTTTAGTCTATTAAATAAAAGAAAATAGAGTTGGTGTATAAAATTGGTCGTATGACTAAATTCTCCATCTATTTACGATATTTGCCACTACTTTCTGTCATCAATTTCAACAATCAGAGGGTCAAAACTGGAAATCTTATTTTTGCTCGGCAAAATCACTTTACTAAAAAAAATCGTTAGTTTGAATAATCTTTTTTGTCATTATAAAACAGAGATTTTATTGGGAAATTGGTAAATATAGCACAAATTATTTTTATAATTAACTCAGTAACCAAAATTATTGCTCATGTTGTATAATATGTTATTTTTAAAGGTTTATAATTTTTAGGTTTGGGATAACTAT